AACAAGTTATATTGGAAGTAAGCAGGAGTAGTGCAACGGTTTTTCACAACTGGAAAATAACTCATGGGGCCGCAAAGTATCAGTGATCCATTTTAGTCCTGCTGCTGGCAAGCAGGCACCATTGTGTGTCGAGAGCCTGTATGATCACAGTAACTAACAACACCCTGTCTTACGTTTTTAGCACGTCAACTAGCGATCAACTTTAATCCATTGGACTGCACCCAATCTGCTGTCACACCTGTTGAAGGCAGTGACAGTTTGCGACCTAGCAACAGGATTACTTTATTTGCGAATTTGCCAACAAGAAGATCATCTACTGTCCTTGTGAGCACCTAATTGCTTAACCACTCAGACAGATTACCTGAGCCAACTAGGTCGCTTTGCTAAAGAAAATGGTTCCCTGACCATGTTCTAATGTCTATATAAAACTCATATAGAGGTTCACAAAATTATAATTTTTGTTTGGGATTCCCTTTAAAGTATCAATGTCAACATATGAGAGGAACATATTTCAAGACAGCACATTTTACTTCACATTAACACCAAATAATGACTCCAGCTTGCCTTTGCAGCTAGCCTACCTGTTGTACCGTATTGCAGTTCTGCAGAACTTTATTTTTTCTTTGGTATAAACAGAAAAAAAGATTAAGATGACCATACCTTACTCTTGAAGTAAGGGTAATGGTCCATGATCCACTGGTAGATGTCACACAAAAGCAACTTCTTCTCATCAGACGCCAGGATTGCCTTTGAGATGAGTGCGATGTACGACTGATTGGGTTTGTCTAAGGATTTCTCAGAATTACAGCTTGTAGGCGATGTGGTGGTGGTCACTTCCTCCTCTCCCTCGTCGTGTTGGTTTTTGTCCCACTCCTCTTTGCTGGTTTTACTTTTCCCAGCTTTGGCGTTTGGCTCTTGTAGACACGTCACCTGTTCTTTGCGTTGAATCTCCATCTCTTTCAGTTCAGGATTCTGATCATTTAGCAGACTGGTCTCCGTCTGTTTTGCTGCGCTACTTGCCGTCACTTCTCCTTTCGAACGTTCGACTCCACTATTGAACAGAAGGTAGTCAATAGTGAAGCTCAGTCCAAGCCTGTCTCTGCTTCCGTTGTGGCTGTTCCTCGTCTCCGTCGTCAGTTCCGAGTTGGTGTCTTCTAAACTCATTGCAGATGTTTTATGGGTTTTTACACTAACTGTATATCAGATTTTTTCCCGTTCATGAAAGAAAAAAATCTTCTCTTCCAAAGATCTCAGAGTTGCGATTTCAAGGTTTAAAGCCAATTGAAGAATAGAACCATTCATAAAAGCGAATGCCTCCGTGCCAACAGTTTCTTTCGCCAAAGTCTTACAGTTGACAAGATCACGGATAAAGATGAGCCTCTCAACTGTTGTTAACCTTGATGCGCTAACGCCTAACACAATGGCAGCCTGTGAAAATGACGTCAGCTGCTTTGTTGGCTGAAGAAAAATCCTTTTGCTCATCAAAAACCTAAGGCTAAAACATCTTTCTCAAGCTTTGCGTTTTCCAAGCTAAAAAGCAGTGCTTCACATTTGTGAAGTGAAGTTGGGTCTCTATTTATATAACTCTGACTTTATCCCTTCCAGAAAGGGGGCAATGAAGACACAGGGGAGGTCCAGGTAGGGGGTCCTGAATGAGGAGGATTATTTTTATTAACCTAAGCAAATCTTTGTAATTACGAGAGATTAAACACAAGATTTAGCCGGACATGGTGTGCTAAAAAGATGGCTGACTTAGAATCAAAAAGCTTTTAAATGCCAGTCTAAGACTGTTTAGCTTGTTTTGTGTGTATGTGTGTGTGTTTGTGTGTGTGTGTATGGATGGGGTGGTTTGTCCAAAGAATTTCTTTGAAAAGGCAGTATTTAATGGGGACAGTTCCTTGATTTTGATTTCAAAATTGTAATGTTATTTGAAACTCAAAAAGTTAGGAAAACAATCATGGTTTATTTAACATGAGGTTTATTCCAAGTTAAGTATTTATTATAAATATGACTAATTTGTTTACATTTCTTTTTTGTGATTTTTTTAGATATGTTTAAAATAATCTATTTAAGTTTTTCAATAAAATCTAACCTCCATTTTCTTTATATAAATAAATTATTGTGGTATTTTCATTCTTCCTTCATGGTTATCAAATATCAAAATGTAATCTTTTATTATTTTTATGTGCATTTTTGTATTTTAAATACTATAATATTATATTATAATACTATAATATAATAATATTACTAATAGCTGATTTAAAAACCGTTACTTTTTAACTCTACTCACTTTTTTTAAACAGAGCTATTTATTGATTTTGTTCCAAGATAATGCAACATGCACTTATACAGCTTTTCCTTGGGATTAATGGGTAAATAAAGTCTACTTGTTAGTATTAACACATGTTCAGAAAAGCTGATCTTCCTGATTTTTTTTTTTTTCTTCTATAAAGTGTGTATTTGGACCTGGGAAGCTGCATTTAATTTCTCAGTTAAAACAATAAAACATGACTGCCTAAACCCAAAAGTTGTGCAGATATAATGTATTTGTTTTGCAAATGATCTAATCAGTGAATATTACTTTGTATTTTAACTGCTAAATCTGTTGTTTTTGAAGTATTAGAATATTTTTGGCTATTTTTTTTTTTTCAAATAAATAGACAATATTAAAACATTTAAGAGTGCACATGAATCTAATTTGTTCTACTAAGCTCATAGAAAAGATCTTGACAGTTGTATTAACTTTAAATTATAGACCATATTGCCCTCTTCTGTTTGAATAATGGAACAGGATCTTTAACATTGAGCACAGTGTCTCACACCTTCCTACTATGTATTATCAGGAGCCACATTGGCTTGTTTGCACATGCATGTTCCATCAATAAAACAGATGTGGTGGAAATGTGTTGTCTTCATTCTGTGACTGAAGTCACAGAAGGTTTAACATGGACCTGCCACTCACTTTTGATGCCTGTTTTGTATCATTTCACTGTCCAAATCCCCACATTGTCAAGTTTCAAACATCTAGCCTTAGATTTGAGATAACGATCAAGGTGAGCAACTTGGAGGTTTTTCTGCTTGTTCAGTTTTCTCTTCACCTTTTGCACTGCAACAATATCCATGACGCCTTCCTTTACACCTCTGCTTCTCTGCCCACAAATTGCATATGAGACAGAGATCATGACGGTAATAGCCATCCTAAAACATGGACTAGGTTGTTTTTAGAGCACACCTTTGCTATCTCTTTGGAAGATCCATTTGTCACCAAGATTTAATAGATCATCCATCATTTTTTTTCATAATGTCCACCATGATGGAATCTACTTTGTGAAATACATCTTCCGCCGCAACAAAAATGAAAATACAAAAAACACCCACAGTGTAATAGTACCACTTCAATTTGAGATTTATCCAATAGGCTTGCAAGATTTCTCCTTTTTGTTCTCTAAATGTATTAATGGTTTTCATGATTAAACACTTCACTTCTATTTTCACCAGACCACAAATCAATAAAATAGAGGTATTTGTCCCTATACTACATTTCGTTGCTTCGTACTTGTGACAATGTAATGACAATAAAGTAGAATTCTGTTCTATTCTTTGTTTATTTGCATTTTGGAGTATTTTTTTTATTGATCTATCACTGAACGGCTTTTCAGTCCCTATTAGTATGGGACTTGTTAGGCTCTGGATAATGACACTTCCTTTACAGTTTCAGTATCTTTTGCATTTTTACGCGGCTAATATGTATTTTCATATTTTCAAAAATCTGATTTGTAACTGAATTTGCATTTGTCTAATTACTTAATGGGTTTAAATTGGGGTTTTTTGTGGATTTTTATTTGATCTGTTTATGTAATAAAATAAAATAATTTTTTGCTGTGAATCTGCTTTAACACAAATGATCAAACTGAACCATAAATAATTAGTTGCTTAGATATAATATGTAAAATAAAAAAAGAATATGTGGTGTAAACATATATAGACAGAAAAACAGACAGAACCATTGTAACTTCAGAATAACATAAAGCAGGCTCCCACACTGAGCTTTCATAAGGCTATTCTTTTAGATCTTTATATAACTTTGTCATTTATATACAAACAACAAAATACTTGTATTAATAATAATTTTTAAAAATCCAATAAATATGAAGAATTACAGATGTAGTGATGAAAGGAGAGAAAACACATTTACTGAATGTATAACACCTAAACATTTTAAGGATAACCATTTTCTATTAATTTAAAGTCTTTTGCATTACATAGCAGCTGGTTGAAAGAAATATGGACATATTTCTACATTTGAATTAGTCTATATGTGTTTTTCATAAAATTAGAACAGCTTGAATAAAAAAAAAAATACACCAACTTATATCACCAAAAATATAAAGAGCTACTATAAAGTCTGGACTGGATTATCTATGGATGTGTGCAGGTTCAATCATACACATGTGTATATATAATTTAAACTCTTCATTTAAATAACAGTATTGTTGCTTTAGAGTTTTAATTTGCAGATCTGTACAAAGGGCATGGAAATGTTTTGTTCAGTTAGTTTTTTTTTTTTTCTTACATTAGACAAAGCTTTACTGTAGCCTCTCATGGTTGGTCACCAAACCCGAAATGGATTATTTTGCTCGGACGGGATTTCAGAAGACCATGCTACCCCCATCCACTTGACAGCCCCTGTTCTCCTTCCACATTGAATTTCAGTAGACATGACAACGTGGATTCAAAATATCTCAACATTATTAAACTTAAACATATCATATCAACAAAAACTATAAAACACTGTGAAATTCACTGATACTGAGGCCTAATGTAGAGAAAGAGACCTGCCTTTGACTATTTTTTTAAAAGGTGTACTATATCTTTAAAATACAATAATCCCGCCTATTTGAAGTGTCAGTCTTTTTTTGCGTAACCCGATTGGTCAACGCCGTACCTCTCTGAAAAAGGTTTGTCGTTTCATTGGTGGAGGACTTGTCGTCATTTGTGACTCTCGCGGTACTGCAAAGCGAAGATGGCGGCCGAACTGGTGGAAGCGATGGTAGGTAAAGCTTGGTGGCTTTTCGGTTGATGGGGAACGGTAGTGGAACTGTGAGCCTAAAGTCACACCGGCCGTGGGAAACCCGGAGTATCTGTGTGGATATTTTTAAGTATAAACAATCCTACAAATTGGACATATTGGAACCACGACGAAAAGAACTAGCATTAGGTGCTAACAAAGCTAGCCTGCTAGGTTATGTTATCCATGCAAGTGCTTGGTACATTTAGCATCACGCTGGGTCTGAGGAAAGACAATGATAATGAATGAGACCTAATTTCAGTTATGTATGCATTCACATGACTTCATTTGCAATAGTCTGTGGATTATATTGTTTATAAGTTGGCTTCTTGGTTTTTAGAGCCTAGCATTTAGCATCTGTCACAATGATTGAATGCTGACAGGCTAGTCTCTTGAGAGGCAAACCTCTTTATTGCACTGTATTTATGGTTAGCTTCAAAAAGGGGGAATAAAAGAACAAGGTGGTTGTGATTTATCGATCAAGTAATAGCATTCGTATTCTAATAAGCACTTATGGACAAACAATAGCACGTCGTTTCTATCGCGCTTGATGGTACTCCGGATAGATATGCAGTGTGAAGCTGTTCATGTTTGTCTAATACATCCTGTGTCTCTTAACTATGAAATAAACTAAAGTCATTTTTTTAGTGGTAATGGTTTATAGACTATCGTTTAGTTGAGCAATAAAATACTTCTGTACATAGAAACAGCTAATCAATGCAAGATGTAAAGCAAGTCTACAGTATAAAAAAAAATTGCAGTTTCAAGGCATCTCTGTTCCTTAATCTCCATTTCTGTACCAATGTTTACATTTAACCTTCAAACCCATGTAAACTAGAACAAACAACAGTAATTGATTTTGTTGTAGTTATTGTCTTTAAACTTTTACTAAGCTATGTGTAAATGCCCTGACTTTCAGTGGTCATAATACATTTCCGTTAATTGATATGCCATTTAGTAGGTTAGTTCAATTCAGTTTATTTATATAGCGCCAATTCACAACATGTCATCTCAAGGCACTTTAAGGTTCACCAGATCATACAGTCAAATTGATTGTCATTTATTTCGAAAAAGAAAATGTTTAAAAAACAAACTCTACAGTAGATGGATGAAGTATACAATATGTTTTTCATATTGTAATTCACATATTTGCAACTAGATTTTTTGCATCAAACGCTTCCCAATCTACACAATTTGGATGCATGAATTGTATTTTTTTTTACTGTAAATATTGTTCTTCTCACTCAATCCCTGCTATTGCCCCTCAGTTGCAAATTGTGGAGAGGTATCGTGTTTTTTCTGTATGTAAACCAATATTTGTAAGAAATAAACCAGTTAATTGACATTTCAACAAAGATCAAAACAAACATTCAAAATTAGTCTTTCTAAACATTGTCTCACATCTGGATAAGTTCTGCTGTGGCTGGGCAATTAATTTCTAAATGATTAATCACACTCTTACGTTAATGAAGCTGTAAAGTTTGGAAAAACAATTTTATTTTAATTTTTTTTGTTTCCCACCAATGCCCTGTTTGGGCTGCCATTGGAGAAAACAGATCAGACTAGATTTTTAAGTCATATTTGCCAGGCATAAATTCTACTAAAGTGAGGCCATATATCTTCACAATTTTTGATTTGTGATTTTAGAAAAGTAATGCAGACTTCCTCAGTAATCCCTCTTGGGTTCAGGAAAAACTGCTTTGACTCCAGTCTTTCGAAAATATTATTATGCAAGACCATTTTGGTCATTGTCACAAAAAGATACAAAGTTCAATGGAGATGCATTGATCTGATCCAGCGACAGTGTTTATATATGAATATAAGTATATAGAATATATGATAAGTATAAATAAGAATTTTAAAGACAAACTTTCGTGAAATTTTTATTTTTTCTTCTGTTGAGCCGCGTTCGCGCAACCTTCAACAGCGTGGTTTGACAGATCTGTTTTTCCAGGTTTTCCTACTATTCAGTTAGGACTTTGTGATCAAAGTTTGTGACACATGGCCTAAGCTTCTTATCGTTTTGCCTTCTCTTCCTTTTAGAACATGGTGAAAAGTTTCCGGGTCTCAGACCTACAGACGCTGCTGGCCTCAATGGGTCGCAGCAAAAGTGGTCTGAAGCAGGACCTTGTGGGTCGTGCACTAAGACTAGTGCAAACAGAGTACAGTCCAGAACTCTTGAAGAATGTCCGGCAGCTTTACGAGTCTCGTTTCCCTAAATCAGCCGCTTGGCTGCCAGCACGACGTCCGGAAGGCGTCCCAGTGGCATATTCATCCCTCAGCTCCTCTCCATCATTGACCTCACAGGGCCCAGACTACCTCAACGGGATTTCCAAACCGCTCCATCCGCCTGCAGCAGAGGTCCGGCTGGTCCCTCTGCCCTTCTACCAAACCTTAGAGACGCTTCTGCCACCAACAGAGCTAAGTGAGTGCAAACCAACGGCCTGCACTTAAGCTTTACATTATTTGTATCTTATTTATTTTTGATTTGTTTATCATTTTGTTTTTATAGTTGCCCACAACAGTGAAAAATTACAGGACAGTCAGTGCATCTTTGAATTAACACCACTGCAAGCAGACCAGATTCGAAATGCAAGGTAATAACTCAGTAATGACATGTAATTTATTATCAAAATTCTTATTTAAGTCTGTAACTTATATATAATTTTAATTATCTGTCTACACAGTGAGCTTCGCCCAGGGATCCGATCAGTCCAGGTGGTTCTCAGGTGAGTTCAGCTCAATAGAATTTATTGTCCTGCCAGTTAAAGCTCTTTGTGTGGATGGAAAAAAAACCCAAAACAAATATTGCTTTACTTAGCAGTGCTTTTTGAAAAAATCAAATTCAATTTTGAATTTATTCTTATAATAATTCCTTAAGTTTGATTCATATAACCAAAGATTATCTTTATAGATTGTGTTTTTCACACTTCTTGCAGCGCAATGAACTACCATTTCTTTATCAATTCGCTGTTGAATGTTAATATAATACTATTATTAAAATGTTGCATAACTACACAGCCACATAATTCAGCGAACAGCTAAAAAATGTTAAAACCTGCAATCAAATTTTAGATCAGGTCTGATCAAAGAGAATCTCATCTAAACATTTTATTTTAATCTATTCTTGAAATTTAGATCGATACCCAGTTCTATTACTTAGGGGAGGGTGAGAGTTCTTAAGATTTCCATATTTTTTGTTTATTTTCATTTATTGCTAGATTTATTTATTTTTTTTTTATCTCTTTTTACTTATAAGCCTAATTGTCTTAGATGGTCTCCTATACTTCTGTGCTTTCTCTTTCATGCAGAATCTGTTACTCAGACCTTATTGGCGTTCAGGAGGACCAGTATCCCCCCAACATTGCTGTCAAAGTCAATCAGTCCTACTGTCATGTACCGGTAGGTTGGTTCACTCATAAATGATGTTTTAGGAAAATAAGGAAGAGCTGTTCATACTTTCACATTTTACTGTTATTTACTGTTAAATTGTGAACTCTATGTATTAGTTGGACTCCTCCCTGTTTGAGACAATTTACTTAGTCACATATATTATTACTTTGTACAGTTAAAATATATGCTTCCCACTCTGATCTCAACATTGAAAGTGCAAAGATGATTGCAGTTTGCTATACGCTGCAGCTCTACTATTGATCTGGCGTGATTCTCCTTCACAGTCATCTCTCTGGTTTATAAAACACAGTCAGACCAAAAAATGTCCAGTTAAGTGCCTTGCTTAGTTCAAAGGAGAAAAGGGAAACTGGTCCAAGATGATAGAAAAGCAACAGTATCACGCAACTGATTTTTATAGCTGTTCTAGTATAATGCATGATCAGTATTTTCTTGGGAAAATATTGCTCAGGAATATATTTTGGGTTTCTCCAAACCACAAAAATCCCAGTAAATTTCAAACAAAACAAGACCCTTAAACAGAGTCTAGTGCATCCTAAAGAAAAGACCCCCAGACCAAATTTGAGCGAAATGTTTTATGCAGTTCAGTGCAGTAAGGAATGCTCTGATCTTTATATTGGAGAAACCAACCTCTCCAAAGACGCATGGCCCGACACAGAAGAGCGACCTCCTCGGTACAAGACCCGGCTGTCCATCTACACCTTATGGACAATGGACAATCTTTTGAGGCCCAGAATGTTCACATTTTGGACAAAGAAGACAGGTGGTTTGAGAGGGGCGTGAAAGACGCCACTTATGTTCAGAAAAACAGTGGACTCAGGTTTCAGCTCTCAAAAACCTACAATTCAGCGATAGAGTTGATTCCTTCCCGCCATCACCTCAACCCTGACCTGTTTACACGGGAACAGAACACCTCGCCTGTTTAGCTAGGTCAAAAATTCCCTTTAACGACCCCCCTTTCAGAGACATAGACGGGTATCGGGTATTGCAGGCTAACAAACAACTCAAACGACTCCCCATTCCAAAGAGGCTGACCCATTCGTCCGGTTCAATTTGCATGTTTTCTAAGCCAAAATAAGAGTTTGTTTTTGGTCTACTCTATGATGCTTGGAACCTAACGCTATTTCTGACATTTGAATTGAAAACGCTTCCTGGGTGGGAAATGAAATGTCTTCAAACGTTATTAGCATAATTTAGCATTAATTAATCAGCATTAATTATTTGCACATTAAGTTATAAAACATCAAAACAACCTTCCAATGCTGTCAAATTGTTATATTTGGGTTATGTATATTTGTATTTCAGACTTATGTATCGAGTGTAATCTATAAATCTGTTAAGGGTGTTCCGTGTTTAGATTTCAATATATTTTATGGTATTAAGTATATGCCTTTTTTTTTATCCCCGTGTTATGTAATTTATTCCTGTGTGTCGATAATAAATTTGGAAGTTTAGTGTCGTAGCATCTAGGGGTGGGCAATATATCGAATATCGTCAATGTATCTGGACTTTTCCCCCACACGATAGTTAAAATGACAATCGCTACCATTGAGTACAAATTTGCATGACATTAAGCAGTCTGCATCTATTTCACTGACATTTTTTTTTTTGTTTTTTTCCCCAAACGCTTTGAATGCATCATAAACCCCTCATTCCTTTCGTTTGCAAATGGCAAATGAATACGGTGACAGCAGGTGTTTCAGCTAAGCAATGTATGGCAGTGGCTTGGATTTCTTCTTTAAAATTCCCAGCAAATAAATATCAATGCAAATAGTTTTGAGATGCTCTGATAATGCTCTAATTTTTGAACAGTATTTCCGCTTTTGTTTTTTTTATTTAAAGTAAATTTCTTTTTTCATGCAGCATTATTTTTTTATTATAGACAAAAAAGCCTTTTTTTATTTTGCATTTTATTTAGTATTGCGTGTTTTTGCTTCATTTCTTGCTTGGTTGCTGGGATCTTGTTAAAGGTCTAATATGGGCACCGAAAGACGTAATGTGGCAGTTTTATTTGTGTAAAACTTTGACCTGGTTAGAATAAAATATTTTTAATTTAAAACCAAAAGCTTGAAGGAGTATATCATTGCAATTATATGCACTCTAGTGTTTTTGAAGGTAATTTAAACATATTGTGATATATAATCATTAGGGATGGGACGGTTTATGAAAACTGTCCGAACCGTTCGGTTCGACTGTCTCGGTTCGGTTCGCGTGTGTTGCGTTCGGTTCATGCGCGGCTCCTTTTTCTCAAAGGCAACGCGGGTACACTCCAGAGCAGAAGGTGGCGGTACTGCGAAAAAAAGCCAACCACCAGTAGTAAA